CACTTTTCCTGACTCCCCCTTCCCCTACCCCCCCCCACTCCCCAACCGGCGGCCCCCCCCTACCCCCCCCCCCTTAGGTCTACCTGGAAGACCTGGCTCTACCTTTAGCTGGCTTTACCTTTACCTGGGACCGCCCCCACCCACCTGACGGACCATAGTCTGGTCTGGCTCTATCTGGAGGACCTCAGTTCCTGAGTCTTGTCTGGGTCTACCTGGAGGACCTCAGCCTGGCCTGGCTCTACCTTTACCCTGATCTACCTTTACCTGACTCCACCTTTACCTGGCCCCCCCCCCTCCCCCCCCCCCCCCCCTCCCCCCCCCCTTGGCCCCCCCCCCTGACCTGCAGGCCTCGATGCTGCTGCGCAGGCGTGCGCGGCGTGCGTCCTCCCAGCGGCGCAGGCCGGAGAAGACCCCGGCGTAGAGCAGCAGCATGAGGGGGCAGGGGATGAAGAAGGAGCAGACGGAGGAGTAGACCACGTAGCTGCTGTCCTCCAGCCGGCAGCGGCCCCCCCGCCGCCCCGCCACGTCCTGCACCCCCAGCAGCACCGGCGCCGCCACGCCCAGGGCCAGCAGCCACGTGCCCGCCAGCAGCCCCAGCTGCCGCTGGTCCACGTGCCGCCGGTTGTAGTTCAGAGGGATGGACACCGCGATGAACCTGGGGGGGCCGGGCCGGGACCGGGAATTATTATTGTTATCTATGCATGTTAGAATAGTCTGTTTGGGTAAAAAAATGGAGAAAAAACTTTGAAAATTTAGAAAAAAGTACTAAAAAAGATTTATTTTTGCCATCAATGCATGTTAGAATAGTCTGTTTGGGTAAAAAAATTTAAAATAATCTTTGAAAGATGGAGAAAAATCATTATCACTGTCAATGCATTTTCTAATATTCTGTCTGTCTGAAAATGTTTTTGTAAAATAATTTCTAAAAATTGAGAAAAAAATACTAAACAAGAATCATTATCATTGCCAATGCACTTTCAAATATTCTGTTTGAGTAAAAAATGTAAACATTAGAAAAATTTAGAAGAAAATACTAAAAAAATAAATAATTTTTGCCAACAATTAATTTTCTAATATTCTGTTGAGTAAAAATTGAACAAAATATTTGAAAAATCTTTGAAAATGGAGAAAAAAAACTAAAAAAGTTTATTGCTGATTATTTTTCTAATATTTTGTTTCAGTAAAAATTTAAGAAATCTCTGAAAAATTGAGAAAAAAACTTTAAAAGTCTTATTACTATCAATGCATTTTCTAATCTTCCATTTGACTAAAAAAATTTAAATAATTTTGAAAATGGAAAAAAAAACAGATTTACTATTGCTAGCAACAGATTTTCTAATATTTCTAATATTTTGTTTGACTAAAGAAAATGGAGGAAAAAAACAGCAAAGAACGTCATTATGGGGGGGGGGAATAGGAGACTATTGAGGAAATTGGGACTAAGTGGGATAAATTGGGAGGGAATGGACAGAAAAATGGGGGGGGATGGGGGGTCTCAGGTGAGGACTCACCTGTCCACGCTGATGGCACAAAGGTTAAATATGGAGGCCGTGCAGAGCATCACGTCCATGGTCATCAGACCATCACACAGGGTCATGTTCAGGGTCCACACCCCCCCCTGGAACTACACACACACACACACACACACACACACACACACACACACACACACA